ATCAATAAAGAAAATATCATCGATAACACGGGTTTCCACAGAAAGAACTGTCGATAACACAGTAAATATATTTCAACGTAATATTTTATATAAATTCCGTTCTATAACAGGTTTCTGTAGGAAAAGTCGATAACGAAAAAATTATAAAAAAATCGATAACGAAAATAAATCGATAACTCATTTCTCGACTGGAAATAACATCGAAAACACAATTTTCCATACAAAGTTCGATCGATAACAATGTTTTCAACCAAAAATATCATCGGTAATACAGTAAATGTCAGTTCGATAACACAGTTTTCAACAAAAACTATCATCGATAAAACGGGTTTCCACAGAAACAACTGTCGATAACACAGTAATTATATTTCAACGTAATTTTCTATACAAAGTCCATTCTATAACAGGAAAAGTCGATAACAAAAAAAAAATTATAAAAAATCGATAACGGAAATAGCTGGTTAACCCAGTTTTCTACTGGAAATAACATCGAAAACACAATTTTCAATAAAAAGTTTGATGGATAACAAAGTTTTCAACTACAAATATCATCGATAACACAGTAAATGTCACTTCGATAACACAGTTTTCAACAGAAACTATCATCGATAAAACGGGTTTTCACAGAAAAAATATCGATAACACAGTAATTATATTTGCAACACAATTTTCTATAAAAAGTCCGTTCTATGACCGGTTTCTATAGGAAAAGTCGATAACAAAAAAATATGAACAAATCGATAACTCCGTTTTTTATCCAATTTCCTCTAAACGCTAAGAGCAATAAATTGCTCGATAACACAGTTTCAACAAAAACTATAATCGATAACACTGTTTTCCAAAGAAAAAATCTATCGATAACACAGATTTATTTAACATATGCTATCGATAACACAGTAATTATCTCTTATCCAATTTTCTTTAAACGCTTTGAGCAATGAAATAAATTGCTAGATAACACAGTTTCAAAAAAAAAAAAACAAAAAAAACTATCATCGATAACACTTTTTTCCACAGAAAAAAAATATCGATAACACAGATTTATTTAATATATCCTATCGATAACACATTAATTATATTTGCAACACAATTTTCTATGCAAAGTCCGTTCGATAACATAGTTTTAAACAAAACAAAACTTCCGATAACACAGCAGAGAAGAACAAAGTTGTTCGATAACACAATTTTCTACAAAAATACAATCGATAATACAGGTTTCTATGGGAACAATAATTTGATAACAAAAAAATATAAAGAAAATCGATAACTTATGCAATTTTCACTAAACCATCTGAACAATTGCACACAGTTTCAGAAAAAATATCATCGATAACACTGTCTTCCTCATTAAAAACTATCGATAACAGAGATTTATATACATATACTATCGATAACACCGTAAATTTATTTTATACGCAATTTTCTTTACGAAGTCAGTTCGATAACACAGTTTTCAATAAAACAAAAACTCCGATAACACAACAAATAACAACAAAAGAGTTCGATAACACATTTTTCTATAAAAAATACGAACGAAAAATGGTTCGATAATGATGTTTTTTATAGGAACTTAATCGATAACAATGCTTTTTTATAACTTTGTTTTCAACTACGATTTCTGTGAAAAAACAAACGCATTTTACAAAAACAAAAAATCGATTTGAATTTACATCTGCCGTCAATAATAAAAATTTAAAAAGGAAAAATATAAATATTGTTTATACGATTGTATTCAATAAATTATTAATTAATTCGCATTCGGCAAACACAAAGCCTTTATGATTGAAATTTCTTTAAAAGGAAACACTCGGTTGGTTGTTGTTCATCAAAACAATGCCTAGGAACTGGCAAAATTGAAACGTAGTAGTGTTATTGCCATCGCAGAACACATGTCAGATTTCCCAGTGCATACAAATGGGATGGGGGATAATAAATGGAATAGAAAGTATTGGATAAGGAATGCAATAGAATTTTTATTGCATACGAAGTGGCACGAACGCTTGTGACCAGTACTCAAATCGAAAATAGGAATATTTAGTAGGAAATTTGTTCGATAACACAATTTACATGGGAAAATGCATTTGATAACAACGCTTTTTTACAGAAAACTGTATCGATAGTAACGTTTTTAACTAAATACTAAGTCGATAACAAAGTTATCTCTGAAAAACTGTTTCGATAACAAACATTTTTAATAGAAAATTGCATCGATAACAAACTTTTCCTTAGAATTATGGATCATTAACACAAATTTCTTGTTAAAAATTATTCGATAACAACCATTTTCTTTGGAAGCTGGTTCGATAAGAAGTAAATTCTATGGAAAACCTATTCGATAACACAATTTTCTTAATAAAAGTTGTAAGTAAAATCGTTTGATTTCGAAAAAGTAGTTCGATAACAGCATTTTGTATATTAAAAATTAATCGATAAGCCATTTTCCAACAAAAATGTCATCGTTAAATATGCTTCCTATATTTATCTGAATCGATAACAACATTTTCTATTATAAAACTGGCTCGATAACAATAATTTTAATGGACAATGGATCGATAACAAGAATTGTAATACAAAAACTTGATCGATAAAAACATTTTTAATAGGAAAATTGTTCGATAACATACATTTTTACATTATTAAACTTAATCGATAACGCTTCTGCAATCAAAAATATAATCGATAGAAAAGGTTTTCAATAATAATCTAAATCGATAACAACGTTATCGATGGAAAACTGTTTTGATAACAATGTTTCCGATAGGAAATTCGATCGATAACAAACGTCTCCATAGAAATCGGGATCGATAAGAAAATTTTAAATAAATATTTTTTTCGATAGTAAAATTTTTCTCTGAAAATTTTTCGATAACATTGAAAACGGGTTCAATAATAAATATTTTTCATACAAAACCCATTCGATAACACAATTTTAAAAAGAAATGTAATCGATAACAACGTCTTCTTTCGAATAACTGCGTTTTCTATATTCAACTTATTCGATAACACCTTGTGTAACCACAAATGTAATCGATAAAAAAGTTTCCTAAAATAATCTAAGTCGATAACAACATTATATATGGAAAACGGGCTCGATAACAATGCTTTCAATAGCAAATTAGATCGATAATAGCATTTTCCATAGAAATCCGGATCGATAACAAAATTTTCAATAAATATTTTTTTCGATATTAACTTTTTTCTTTGAATTTTTTTTTCGATAACAGCGTTTGTCGTTGAAAACGGATTCAAATAGAAATATTTTTCTAGAAAACCCATTCGAAAACACAATTTTCACAAGAAATGTTTTTGATAACAAGGTTTTTCTTAGAACACATCGATTACAACGTCTAATTTCTAAATATTATGTATTCCATAACAGCGTTGTATTAAACTTTTTCGATAACGCCTTGTGCCATAAAAAATGTAATCGATAAAAATAGTTTCCTAAATAATCTAAATCGAAAACAACGTTATCTATGGAAACTGGCTTTATAGCAATGCCTCCGATAGGAAATTGGATCGATAACAAACGTTTCCATAGAAATCCGGATCGATAATAAATTGTCAATGAATATTTTTTTTCGATATTAACATTATTCATTGAAAACTTTTTCGATAACAACGACTTTCATTGAAAACGGGTTCAATAATATATATTTTTTGTAGAAAATCCATTCGATAATACAATTTTTAAAAGAAATTTATTCGATAACAACGTTTTTCTTAGAACACATTATCGATAACAACGTCTACTTTCGATATATTATTCGATAACAGCGTTTTCTATATATTTAACACAATCGATAATGCCAAAAATGGAATCGATAAAACTGCTTCTTATAAATAACTAAGTCGATAACAACGTTATCTATGGGAAACTGTCTCGATAATAACTTTCATAATAGAATATAGGATCTATAACCAACTTTTAAATAGAAATCCTAATCGATAACAAGATTTTTCAATCATTTTCATTTCGAATATTAACATTTTTTATTGAAAACCTATTCGATAACAACGATTTTCATTGAAAACCAGTTCGATAACAGATATTTTCTATAGAAAACTCAATCGATAACATTATTATAATAAACATTTTCTATAGAAAACCCATTCGATAACACAATTTTCAACAGATTCTAAGGAGACAATACCGATAATAACGTCTTCTTTCCAAATATTGTTCGATAATAGCATTTTCTATATTTAAAATTATTCGATAACGCTGAAAATGCTACAAAAAATGTAATCGATAAAAATGTTTCCTATAATAAACTAAATCGATAACAACATTATCAATGGAAAACTGTCTCGATAGTTACTTCTATAATAGAAAATAGGATCGATAACCAACTTTTAAATAGAAATCCTAATCGATAACAAGATTTTCAATATTTTTTTTTCGAATATTAACATTTTCCATTGAAAACCTGTTCGATAACAGCGATTTTCAATTAAAACCATTTCGATAACAAATATTTTCTATGGAAAAACTATTGGTTATCCCCATTTTCAAAAGAAATGTGTTCGATAACATCGTTTTTCTTATAGGCATCATAAAAAACTAGATCGATATCAGTGTTAAGTATAGAAAACTGGCTCGATAACAATGTTGTATATGGAGAAATGTCTCGATTACAAGATTTATAAAAGAATAACTTTTGAATACAAAACCGTACCGATAGCTAGAATTTGAATAAAAAAATTTTGATAACGTTTGATTTTGACAACTTTATCGATAAAAACGTTCCTCAACAAAACCTGGCTCGATAATAACGTTTTTTGAGTGAAACTTGTTCAATACCAATGTTATCTAATAGTTTAAATTCCCCGCTGGTAGTAGGGTCCATAGTCGTCTAACCTATTTAATGATTAATTGAGCAGACACATCAACTGTGCGCCCACCCGCCCACAACAAAGAGGTGTTAATTGCATTAATATTTATATTTAAATTTATCGTTTATTTATCTCTCCTCCTCTTTTCTCTTTCTCCATTCCAGGTTCAATGTATATTCCATGGATATGATGTTCAGCACTGCAGCAATCAGGAAATTCTCAAAAGAAGACAACACTGAGACAATTCTACAACGTTTAGTTTAGCGAAAAAAAAAAATCTAGAGCGTCTGTCCGTCGGCCCGTCTGTCTATTTTTTGTACTTCTTGTTATCGTTGTCATTGTTGTGAACACAGCTCTCAATTGCTCAATTCACTCGCTCTATTGTGTGCTCTCCTGTGAAGTGTACAATAGTAGCAACAACAACAACAAGTCTAAATGGATAATCCAATGCGATTCTGTTGATGACCACCGACGCAGCAGCCAGGAACAACACTAGCAGCAACAACATTTGAAGAAAGAAAGGAAGAAGAAAAAATATAAAAAGAAGAAATTTTATTTTCGATATTTCAAGGAATTGAATTTGGAACAACCCCTTCCTCCCATCCGCCCTCAAACGGAAGAGATATTATGAGAGACTTTTATGTTTTTGTTTTAGAAAATGTTTAAGAAGTGAAAATACGGGATTTGTTTGATTTCTCCAAGAGCCGACACAGAGCCTTCAAGACCCAACAGCAACATGTCGAAAGCAACATCAACAAACAATAGCACCGCCACCACCTCCTCGAGCTGCACAATGGCAAACACAAGTACCGTGGCCGCCACCACTAGCCACACCTCAATGACAGCAACAGCAGCGTCATCATCCACCCTCTTGGCCATGAGCAAAATGTCCACCTCCACGCCACAAAAGAAGCTACCAGATGCTGCCGCAACAACAATGCTGGCCGATATCAGTGGTCTCGCTGACACGGAGACATCAAATGTCTTCAACGATGATACAACCACATCCATATCGCCCAATCAGAGCAGCAGAATACATGGCAGTGGTGGTGGCCACACTGGAGCAGGCAGTGGTGGTTATAGTAAATCCAACTCAGCCTCCAACAGCCCGGTGGCCAAGCGCCATCTGAATTCAGGCTCCGTGGCCAGGACTCGTCCCCAATCCAGTTATTCGGCCAGGGTATTAATTTTCGAAGATTCCGATCAAGAATTGGGAGCCCATGGTAGCATGGCAGGCGCCGGAGGAGGAGGTAGTAACAATAGTGGTAATAGCATACAAAGTATTGGCAATAATACTCATGATGGCACCACCAAATCATCCACGGGTTTGGAAATGTTTGGTTCATCGCCCAAAAACGATTCATCGATATCCTCATCACAGTCGCTGTTAAGAAATTTAAATTTGACAAAATCCTCATCGGGTGGTTTATCGGGAAGTTCGATATCATTGCCGGCCAGAGGCTATGGGGCGTTGTTGCGCAAGATATCCTATCAGCAGCATACCTATTCCATGAGATCGAGTAGTAATGGTGAGTTGGAGCACACATTTTTTTGTAGAATTTTCTTCAAAACCAAAAAACAGCAAAGGATATCGATAACTTCGATAACAACGATTGGAAACAAAAAAGTTATTGGACGAGTTTTTCATAGAAATTAATTATAAGCGAAAATTTTTGTGTCGATAAAATGTTATCGAAAATATTTTTTGCAATCGAACATTTTTTTCAAATCGATTTTATCGGCTTATCGACCAAAGTGTTTAGAAAAGCTTGTTTTCGGACAGAAAAACTTGTTATCGGAGAATTTTTCTAAAGAAAACATTGTTATCGAACAATTTTTCTGTCGAAAACATTGCTATCGGACAATTATTCTATAGCAAACATTGTTATCGGAAAAGATTTTCAAAGAAAACATTGTTATCGGACAAGCTTTCTATAGAAAACATTGTTATCGGACAAGCTTTCTATAGAAAACATTGTTATCGGACAATTTTTCTATAGAAAAAATTGTTATCGGACAAGTTTTCCATAGAAAACTTTGTTATCGGCCAAGTTTTCTATAGAAAACATTGTTATCGGCCAAGTTTTCTATAGAAAACATTGTTATCGGACAAGTTTTCTATAGAAAACATTGTTATCGGACAAGATTTCTATAGAAAACATTGTTATCGGACAAGATTTCTATAGAAAACATTGTTATCGGACAATTTTTCTATAGAAAAAATTGTTATCGGACAAGTTTTCCATAGAAAACTTTGTTATCGGCCAAGTTTTCTATGGAAAACATTGTTATCGGACAAGTTTTCTATAGAAAACATTGTTATCGGACAACTTTTCTATAGAAAACATTGTTATCAGACAAGTTTTCTATAGAAAACATTGTTATCGGACAAGTTTTCTATAGAAAACATTGTTATCGGACAAGTTTTCTATAGAAAACATTGTTATCGGACAAGTTTTCTATAGAAAACATTGTTATCGGACAAGTTTTCTATAGAAAACATTGTTATCGGACAATTTTTCTATAGAAAGCGCTGTTATCGGACGAGTTTTCTATAGAAAATATTGTTATCGGACAATTTTTCTATGGAAAACATTGTTATCGGACAAGTTTTCTATGGAAAACATTGTTATCGGGCAAGTTTTCCATAGAAAACATTGATACCGGACAAGTTTTCCATAGAAAACATTGTTATCGGACAATTTTTCAATGGAAAACATTGTTATCGGAAAAATGTTCTTTAGAAAATTTTGTTATCGGACAAGTTTTCTACAGAAAACATTGTTATCGGACAAGTTTTCAATAGAAAACATAGTTGTCTGTAGAAAACATTGTTATTGGACAAGTTTTCTATAGAAAATATTGTTATCGGACAAGTTTTCTATAGAAAACATTTTTATCGTACAAGTTTTCTTTAGAAAACATTGTTATCGGACAAGTTTTCTATAGAAAAACATTGTTATCGGAAAAGTCTTCTTTAGAAAACATTGTTATCGGACAATTATTCTATAGAAAACATAGTTATCGGACAATTCATCTATAGAAAAACATTGTTATCGGACAATTTTTCTATAGAAAACATTGTTAACGGACAATTTTTCTATAGAAAACATTGTTATCGAACATGTTTTCTAAAGAAAATGTTGTTATCGGACAAGTTTTCTATAGAAAATGTTGTTATCGGACAAGTTTTCTATATAAAGCATTGTTATCGGACAAGTTTTCTATAGAAAACATTGTTATCGAAACATTTTTCTATAAAAAACATTGTTATCGGACATGTTTTCTTTAAAAAGCTAACTAAACGAACTATTTTTAGCTTGAAGACGTTTTTATCGAAAATAATTTCGATACAAAATTTTGTTTTTTATAAAGTTTTCGATAGTAAACCATGATTTCGAAACGCTTCTCCACAGAGATTCTTGTTAATGATCAAGTTTTCTGTAGAAATGTTTGTTATCGATGAAATTTTATAGATAAAAAATATTTATCGATATTGTTAAAAACATTGTTTTCCATAAAAAATATCGTGTTTAAATAATTTTTCTTAAAGATTGTCGAAAAAAAACTATCGATAACTTTGTTATCGATAAGAAAATCTCTTCAAAATTTTATTATCGTTCAAATAAATTGCAAAAAACTTTGATATCTATAAAATTTTCTATAAAAAATATTGTTATCGTTTATGTTTTCTTTGCTGAACTTTGTTATCGATACACTTTTTTGTTGAAAATCTTCATTATCGAAACTTGTTAGTCAAATCATTGTGTGCTTTATTAATATTTCTCATCATTTTAGATTCCTCAAATTTGGTACGCATGCGCAACACATCATTGGGTAAATCGGCCCCCTGCCTTACGGGCAGCAATTCATTTCGCGATCGCGATACTAGCCTGTGTCTGGGCCAAACTAGTATGCATGCCATTACTCATTCACCATCATCCACATCATGTAATATTCACCCAACATCAGCAGTAGCAGCATCATCATCATTATCATCGTCCAACTCGAATACATCAACATCTAATGCAGCAGCGGCGTCGTCATCGTCTGCGGCACCCAACGCCAACACCAGCTCCTTGAACATTTCTCGTTCGGGCAGTTGTGCCGGTTTGGGTATTGGTAAACATCATTTACATGGTGTTGTTATGCGTGGCTCCGCCGCCAGTTCAAGTGGTGTGGCTCATCATCGTTTAAGTTTGGTTACCGGTGGCATAGGGGCAGCTGCTGCAGCAGCTGCGGCCGCGGCGGCAGCAGCAAATTCAAGATCTCATTCGCCATATTCGGCAAGTCCGGTGGACAGTCCACGCATCAATTCGCCAATGCAATTTGCTTTTGCACCCATCAAACGTATAGCCACATGTCGTGGTGATGGTAGAAGATGGTCTGTGGCTTCATTGCCTTCGTCGGGCTATGGCACCACACCGGGTAGTTCAAATTTATCGGTGAGTTTTGGGAATGTTAAAATGTTGAGTGTTTGGTTTTTAATGGAAATTTTTGATTTTTTTCAGAGTCAATGTTCCAGCCAGGAGGCCTTGCATCAGTTACCCAATATGCCCGGTGGCCATGATGATCATCAAAACATGCATTTAATGGCAGGAGGAGCGGGAGAAATGGCTGGCAATGCCTTGGTGAATTGTTGTGCCGAGCATATGCACCAACACCAGCAGTCCTTGGCGGCGGCGGCTGCTGCTGCTGCCACAAATCGACCCCACTGTGTGAAACATTGTGCTTTAATCAACAACAACACTACAACGAATAAAAATACCGTCCCAGGACAGGCAAGTCCTAAGCAACAGCAGCAATTTAAACCACAACATGTGCCAAGCGGCAATGCCGCTCCTGCCACACCCCTTAAGCCATGCCCCAACTGTTGTGCCGACATAAATACGGCCTGTAATCCCAATGCCCCAAGGACTCCTGGCTCGAATAACACCAGTGGAAGTGGCCAAAATAGCGGTGGACGGATGTCTCCCTTCCACCGGCCACGCTCCAGATCATTGTCCAGTCCCTCACGCTCGCCTGCCATTGATAATGAGATTGCTTTAATGAATACCATGTACAAGGAACGTTTCCCCAAGGCCACCCAACAGATGGAAGAGAGACTGAAACATTTCATAAATGAAAATAAATCGGCGGTGTGCAATAGTTTCCGGGACTCGCAGCCAATTGTGAGATTTGTCCATCATCAGGTATTGGAAATGGCGCGAGATTGTCTAAATAAATCCGAGGCCAAATTGATAACCTCAAGATATTTCTATGAAATGAGTGAGAATCTGGAACGTTTACTAATGGAAACAAAAGAGAAAAGTCCCGAGGCTGCCGTGGAATTGGCTGGGGTTATCAAGAAATTGCTTTTGATAATATCCCGGCCAGCCAGGTTATTGGAATGTCTGGAATTTGACCCAGAAGAGTTTTATCATTTGTTGGAAGCGGCCGAGGGACAGGCCAAGGCCATACAGGGCATCAAGGCAGACATACCGCAGTATATTATACACAAACTGGGTCTTAATCGGGATCCCATAGCGGAAATGCAACAAGAGGCTAAAGAGACCAGGGAGGTGTGTGATAATAAAGGTTCCAACAACTCGAGTGTTTTGAATGATTCCGGCACCCCATGTTCACTGCTGTTGAGCTCTCCTCTCACCTGTGTCTCGGTGACTTTGAATCCCAATGCTGAGCTGAATCTATTGGCCAACAGTGGTTCAAATACACCCCATCCACCCATGCCCTTACAGCCGCCTCAAACCCCCGTTGCCATTGGCGAAATGCCTCCCTTTGGCGCCACACTCAACAAACAAACAAATCTCAACTTGACACCGCAGGAAAAGGCGGCCCTGAAACCTTCATTCGGTGTTGCCAATCAACAGCAGCTCCATGAAACACAAACACCCCCACAACAGTCAACCGGCCAACTTCCACCACCACCACTACCGCCACCACAACCCATACCCAGCGAACATGATTTCGACATTGTTAAACTGATCTCAAATGGTGCTTACGGTGCTGTCTATCTGGTGAAACACAAGACCACCCGCCAACGTTTTGCCATGAAAAAAATCAATAAAAATAATCTCATTTTACGCAATCAAGTCGAACAGGTCTTTGCTGAGCGTGACATATTATCCTTTGCCGATAATCCGTTTGTCGTCAGCATGTACTGTTCGTTTGAGACGAAAAAGCATTTATGTTTGGTCATGGAATATGTAGAGGGTGGCGATTGTGCCACCCTGCTCAAGAATATTGGTCCGCTGCCGGCGGACATGGCCCGTTTTTATTTTGCCGAAACTGTATTAGCTGTTGAGTATTTGCATAGTTATGGCATTGTTCATCGCGATCTTAAACCAGATAATTTGTTAATTACCGCATTGGGTCACATAAAACTGACCGATTTTGGTCTCTCGAAAATGGGCCTTATGTCGTTGGCCACAAATTTGTATGAGGGTTATATTGATTCGGAGACCAGGCAATTTTCCGACAAGCAAGTGAGTAGAGAAAATTAAATAGAATTGCCAAAAAGAAATGTTAACATTTTTAATTATTAGGTTTATGGCACCCCCGAGTACATTGCCCCCGAGGTGATATTGAGGCAGGGTTATGGTAAACCTGTCGATTGGTGGTCAATGGGTATAATCTTGTATGAATTCCTAATTGGTTGTGTACCGTTCTTTGGCGAAACAGCAGAGGAGTTATTTGCCCATACTGTCAATGATGACATTGAATGGCCCGATAATGATGATTGGCCTGTCCAGCCGGAAGCTAAAGATATTATAACACAATTGTTGCAACAAAATCCCCGTGATCGTTTGGGTACCCAGGCGGGGGCGTTGGAAGTTAAGGAGCATTTCTATTTTGATGGTCTGGATTGGAATTCGTTGTTGCGTCAAAAGGCCGAATTTGTACCACAATTGGCAAATGATGATGATACCAGCTATTTTGATAGTAAGTTGTTGGTATTACACACAAACACACACATACACTTATGCATGTGTGCACATATACATACAAAAAATATATTTATTCTTCAGTGATTAAAAATTCCGTCAGGTATGTTGTAAATCTTTATATGATACACTAGTGAGATATACACATTTTAGCCATTGACACCAATTTGTCCCACAGCAAGTGAAAATAGAGGGTTGGCGTCAATGAAAAAAATATTCTATATCAAATTCCACTATGGGCCACTGACCAGAATAAATCTGTAGATATAATAGATTTCAATAAAATATGCCTAACAAATTTGCTACAATATTTAGGGAGTCATTTGTCTTCATTCATTATTATATATTTGATTTTTGTCATTTTTGTCCCCAAGTCCTTGATTTTAGCCACTTGGTGTCAATGGAAAACATATTCTACATCAAATTTCACTATGAGTCATCGCCCATAGAAAATCCGTATATATGATATATATGGTTCAAATGCCTATAACAAAATTATAATATTACTTTTTTAATTTTCCTCGAAATTAATTTTATATATTTTTGAATTGTGGTAGTTTGTCCCACCGCAAGTGAATATAGAGAGTTGTCGCCAATGACAAAATTGTTCTATATTAAATTTCATAATGGGCAACCGACCATAAGAAATTCGTAGATATAACAGATTTCAAGAAAATATGCAGAACAAATTCACTACAATATTAAGGGAACCTTTTTCCTCCATAAATTATTATATATTTAATTTTTACCATTTTTGTCCCCAAGTCCTTGATTTTAGCCACTTGGTGTCAATGGAAAACATATTCTACATCAAATTTCACTATGAGTCACCGACCACAAAAAATCCGTATAATTAATATGAATAGTTTAAATGACTATAGCAAAATTGTAATATTACTTTTTTAATTTTTGTCGAAATTAATTTTGTATATTTTTATATTATGGCAATTTCTCCCACTGTAAGTGACTATATAGGGTTGTTGTCAATGAAAAAATTATTCTATATCAAATTCCACTATGGACCACCGACCAGAAGAAATCTGTAAATATAACAGATTATAAGAAAATATAATCAACAAATTAACCACAATATTCAATGACATTTTTTTCTTCATCAATTGTTATATATTTGATTTTTGTCCCCGAGCCCTTGATTTTAACCACTTATTGTCAATGGAAAACATATTCTACATCAAATTTCACTATTAGTCACCGAACACAAAAAATCCCTATATATAATATATATGGTTCAAATGCATATTACAAAATTATAATATTACATTTTTGTATTTTTTCTCGAAATAAATTTTGTACATTTTTGAATTGTGGCAATTTGTACCACTGCAAGTGAATATAGAGAGTTGGTGCCAATGACAAAATTGTTCTATATAAAATTCCACTATGAGTCACCGACCGGAAGAAATCTGTAGATATAATAGATTTCAATAAAATATGTCTAACAAATTTGCTACAATATTTAGGGAGTCATTTTTCTCCATTCATTATTATATATTTGATTTTTGTCATTTTTGTCGCCAAGTCCTTGATTTTAGCCACTTGGTGTCAATGGAAAACATATTCTACGTTAAATTTTGTTATGGGTCACCGACCACAAGAAATCTGTAGGTATAATATATATGGTTTAAATGACTATAACAAAATTATAATATTACGTTTTTAATTTTTCTTAAAATACATTTTGTATATTTTTGAATTGTGACAATTTGTCCCGCAGCAAGTGAATATGGAGGGTTAGCGTCGATGAAAAAATTATTCTATATCAAATTCCACTATGGGTCACCGACCATAAGAAATCCGTAGATATAACAGAAAATATAAAAAACAAATTTGCTTCAATATTTAGTGAGCATTTTTCTCCATTCATTGCTACATATTTGATTTTTACCATTTTTGTCTCCAAGTCCTTGATTTTAGCCACTTGGTCTCAATGGAAAACATATTCTACATCAAATTTCACTATGAGTCATCGACCACAGAAAATCCGCATATATAATATATATGGTTAAAATGACTATAACAAAATTATATTACTTTTTTTAATTTTCCTCGAAATTAATTTTATATATTTTTGAATAATGGTAATTTGTCCCACTGCAAGCGAATGTAGAGGGTTGGCGTCAATGAAAAAATTATTCTATATCAAATTCCACTATGAGCCACCGACCAGAAGAAATCTGTAGATATAATAGATTTCAAGGAAAAAACACACAACAAATTGAGTAAAAATAATATTCATTTTTAGAGGTTAAATTGAGAATTTTCCATTTTGCTCCCATGACCCATCAGTCGAGAGGGTTGCTACCAAGGCTAGAATATTCTACATCAAGTTTGTCTTAAGGGGTCACCACAGATATAAATATCTTTATATCACACCCTCTGTCAGAATCCATTTGCAAAACTGTTTGCCTCTAAATTTTCTCATTTTTCTAATTTTCTTTCATTTCTTAATTTTTTCCCCTCAGCTCGCATGGATCGTTACAATCATGACTTGGGTGGTGAAGATACCGATGACACAGATGATACTCCCGTATTTGGTTCTTTTTCATCGTATACGCCGCAGTATCGCAAGCAGCATTATTCATGGTCGCGCACCACGTCGGCATCGTCCACAACATCTGTGGCCTCGTCGACATCACAAAATTATCCATCAGCATCAGCTGCAGCCGCGCCTACGACAACAACAACAGTTCAAAATGCCACAACAACAAGTGGTACAATAACCACAACAACAACAGCAGTTAGTGCATCCTCAACGCAGGAAACCCAGAAATTGCTGGTTACCGAAAGTTCATCATCGCCCACAAATACTGTGGACTCTGTGGCCAAGTGTCGTAAAATTTCAGCACCCTTGGCAGCAGCCGCAGGAGGTGGCAATAGCATTACAACTATTAGTACATTAAATCAACATATGGTCAATAAGGTCCTGACCACACCACAATTGAGGAAGATTGAGGTAATTTAGAATTCTTCGTCAAAGAAAATAATTATTTTTAATTTTTATTTAAATTTTGTTTTATTAGCTATCCACAACCTGTGTTAAGGTCCCCTCAACTCCCGATGCTGATTACTTGCCTGAGTTGTTGCACAATGTCACCATTGGCAATGACAATGAGTTGCGTATGCTAAATCAGTTCTTGAGACAGCCGGGAGGTGGTAATATCCCCTCCTCGCCCTCCTCCGGCCAGCAGCACAGTAGTTTGGCTTTGCAACCCATTAAGCCGGAAAGACATCACCATCATCATCAGCGTCATAGTATGCCACCCAATACCACAACAATAATCACAACTCCGGCTACACCACCCGCAGCCATGGTCAATGCTCCGGTGGAAGTGGGCCAACAGCAGGGAACTAACACCACCAAATCCCATCAAACAAATTCTTCATCTACCAGCAGCTGTGGCTCCTCATCATCGACGACAGTGGAATTAAAAGCGAACAGCAACAACACAACTTCTTCTTCGTCTACTTCTTCGTCCACCTCAAGTACAACAACAGCAGCAGCAGCAGCAATAGCAACAATAAAAACTACAAATCCTTCTCTAATTTCAACAATAACCACCGAACGCAAACTTGCCGATACTCATAAGTTAGCACGCAGTACACCGGAATCATCGCAGACAGACAGCGATGATTTCTCACCTCAGATAGCCCGTAAACGTAAGGGTGTATGTGCCCGTGATATATTGCCCAGATTCTCTATATCCATAGAAGATGAGACCATCAGTGGGGGATCATCTTCGGCGGAGAACACCCGGGAACAATCGCCGCTGGCATTGCAACATCAGAAATCAATTGATAGCCATATGGCCACGAAGAATCATCGTTCTCGTTCGTCCATTGTTAAGTCGGCCTCGGCCCTGGGTCTGTCACTAATGTCATCAGCCAGTAAGTATTTAAGAGAGTCCTTTTGAGGTTAGGAATTTGGAAATTTTAAATTTTTTCCTTCCTCCTCTCTTTCAGTTGACAATGTCCAGTTGGCCCAGCAGTTGTGCAACATCACCGCCGGCATACAATCCCCCAGCAGTGTAACTGCCGGAGGTGGTGGTGGAGGCGGTGGTTCCAGTACAGCTTCTTCCCGTGACACATCACCCTGCCGGGAATTGTCGCCCTTGGTTACAAATCTCAAGCCACCGATTATCATTAGACGTGGTCCACGTGGTTTTGGTTTCACCGTACACACGATACGTGTGTATTATGGTGATACCGATTTCTATACCATGCATCACTTGGTAATGGCGGTGGATGAGGGTAGTCCTGCTTTTGAGGCTGGCCTAAGGCCGGCCGATCTAATAACTCATGTCAATGGGGAGACAGTGCAAGGTCTGTTCCATACACAAGTCTTGCAATTGTTGTTGAGTGGTGGTGAACATGTCACTCTGAGGGCCACACCCTTAGAACATACCAGCATTCAGAGTGGTGGACGCAAACGGGATCTAATGCAGAGTAAGCTGGCCAAGAAGGGTGTCAATCGCCAGAAGAAACAAACCAAGAAGGAGCATGACAAGAAACGCAAGACCTCGCTGTTTAGGCGCATAAGTAATAAGCGTGCCTCGGCGGAGATCCAACAGGTAAGGCGACCTGAGGCAACTTAATTTTGGAATATATTCATAACTGATTTTTTGTGTCCCCTTTTTAGATGGCTGCTGGCATCAACTCGCCCACAACACCCTCGGCTGTGGGCACGGCCATTGGTAGGAATTTATCTCCTTTGGATTCATCATATCATAGTAGTAGTTGTTGTCAATCAGCGGCCACCTCATCCCAATCAACATCACCCTCATCCTCCTCTCCCAATACCCCAACGGGTGGTGGTGCTGGCAATGGTAATAGTGGTGTTGTAGCCAATATTGTGTCGGGTCCTGGCAATAATACCGGTATAGGATTTGTAAGCACTTCCAACACCGTGCTTCTGCCAATTGCGGGCTCTGTTAGTGGAGCTGCCACCGCAGGAGGGGCACCAGTTGTGGGTGTAATGGGCAATATACCAGGTATGGCTATTGGCATAAACGAATCTTAAATTATTTTATAAATTTCCCTCTTCTCTTCTTCTTCTTCTTGCCAGTCTCACCAACATCGGTGCCACAATTGTATCAACGACCCTCAACCTTGCATGGTCTGAAACACAAACTACACACTGGTTGTGCTGGTAACACAACCGTTTGTCCCACTGGTTCGGGTGTCAAGGCATTGCACACCAACTCCACAGCATCAATGCCAAATCGTCGTAAATCTGTAGGTCATATTCCTCTCTCACCGTTGGCTAGAACTCCCTCACCATCACCACTTCCTTCTTCGCCCACACGTTCTCCATCGCCGCTGGCTTTTCCGTTGATTGGCCATCAGCCAGGCTCATCGAATACAACGCAGTCGTATAGTCCCGGAGGATCATTGCCGGTGGTGCAAACTGTCACGGCTGGTTCTAAGAAGACCGGATTTGTGCGGACAAAATCCTCGGAACCCAGTTCACCATTGTTGAGGCGGGCCCTATCACCAGATCGTCTACATCCACGTAGTGCCGAAACAAAATGTACTCTAATTTCACCGCTTTGTTGTTCACCACCCATAAAACAGCCACAACGTGTCATTGGTGGAGTATGGCGTCCTAATAACAACAATAGCAATGCAACTACTAATCCAAATACCACATGTATTTCTGCAGCCGGTGGTCAGGCAATCGGGGCAACCACCCTACCACCAATAACCTCCGCCGCCGTCGCCGTCGCCCATCATTCCCAACAATCGAACACCACCTCGTCCTCGCCCCTGTCGTCAGCATCAACATCAGCTTGTAGTCGTTTGATTGAACAGTGCGAACAACATCTATCATCCAATACCACGAGTCTCAGCTCAAACACCAACAACACCACCAATAATACCACCATTATTGAAGATACTATTATGTGTGATGTTTCACAGACAACATCATCATCCTCATCCTCAAGTTCTAATTCTACTTCTGCTCTAGTAAGTACACCATCCGGTATGGTAATACCGGGTGAAATGATGTTACCTCGCATTGCTGAAGAGAAAGACTCGCCCACCAGTACATCGGAATCGACAACACCGGGTTTTATGCAGACCATTGCCGAGCATCATGAGGGCGGTGATGACCCAATGTTTTGCGCGACAAGAGAGAAATCTACTGAGAGGGATAGGCAAATGGATACGGGATCGTCGTCTATAGCCGCCACAACAGCGGGAACTAAAGATGCTGGAAATAAAACGAAATGCAACGAAAGCAGTAAGTAAAATGGACTCAACCAAGAAATAATACGAAAGCGAACCAAATTAAAATTGCTATTATTTCTTGGCATGTGATACACATACAGATCTCTTATGTAAGGTGACCCATAGTAAAATTTTCCGGTGAACATTTTTTCCATTAACATCGAACCACTAAAATAAATTTTTGTCCCATCAAAGGCATCATCATTTTTTGACTTAATAAAATATATACACTTCAAATTTCTGTTATTTTCGTAACCCAAATTGCAACATAAGGGTTATAGTAGTATATGTCCGATTTACTGGTTTCTTTTGTGAGGTGACCCTTGGTAAAATTTTCCGGAGAACATATTCTCCATTGACATCGAACCACTAAAATAAGTTTTTGTCCCATTAAATGCCCATTTTGGAATTGTTGTAATATTTACATATCAAATATCTGTTATTTTCATGATCCAAATTACAACATAAGGGTTACAGTGGTATATGACATATTTATAGCTTTCTTTTGTGAGGTGACCAATCGTAAAATTTTCCAGAGAACATATTCTCCATTGACGTAGATTCACTAAAATAAACCATTTTGCCATTAAAGATCCATTTCTGGAATTAGTATAATATTTACATATCAAATTACTGTTATTTTCGTAACCCAAATTGCGACATAAGGTTTATCGTGATATATGTCATATTAACATGTTTCATTTGTGAGGTTATCCATAGTGAAATTTTCCGGAGAACATATTCTCCATTGACATCGATCCACTAAAATAAACTTTTCTGCCATTACAGACCTACTTTTGCAATATCCTCATATTAACATACGGAATTTCTTTCATTTTCATAATCAAAATTGTAACGTAAGGTGTATCGTGATATATATCATATTTACAGGTTTCTTTTGTGAGGTGACCCATAGTGAAATTTTCCGGAGGACATTTTTTCCATTGACATCGATCCAATAAAAAAAAAATATTCTCCCCTTACAGACCCACTTTGAAATAGCGCCATTTTAACATACGGAATTTTTTTATTCTCATAATCGAAATTCTAACGTAAGGTGTATCGTGATATATGCCATATTTACAGGTTTCTTTTGTGAGGTGACCCATTGTAAAATTTTCCGGAGAACAATTTTTCCATTGATATCGATTCTCCCTTTAAAGATCCATTTTTGAAATAAGTGTAATATTTACATATCAAATTTCTGTTATTTGCATAAATCAAATTGCAATGCAAGGTTTATCGTGATATATATTTAATTCACTGATTTCATTCGTGAGGTGGCCCCTATTAAAATTTTCCGGAGAACATTTTTTCCCTTGACACCATTGCCCTAAAATGATATATGGAAGTAGAAATGGACCTGTTTCAAAAACAATACAAAGTTAACCTCAAAAAATATTTATTTTTTTTTTCTGTTCTCAATTTGATTCGCTTTATTTTATTGGTAAAAATTTTCTTCTGTTCAAAGACCAATAGTAAAATTTTCCGAGGAACATTTTTTCCCTTGACACCATTGTCCTAAAATGATATATGGAAGTAGAAATGGACCTCTTTCAAAAACAATACATAATTAACCTCAAAAAATATTTATTTTTTTTCTGTTCTCAATTTGAAATGCTTTATTTTATTGATAAAAATGACATTTACAGTTTTCTTCTATTCAAAGACCGTTAGTAGAATTTTCCGGAGAACATTTTATCCCTTGACACCGTTCTCCTAAAATGTCATATCTGAGGTTAAATGGGAACTTTTCAAAAATAACTATAATTAAACTCAAAAATATTTTTTTCTGTTCTCAATTTGACTCGCTTTATTTTGTTGGTAAAAATTACATTTGCAGCTTTCTTCTGTTCAAATACCATTAGTAGAATTTTCCGGAGAACATTTTTTCCATTGACGCCATTGTCCTAAAATGACATATGTGAGGAGAAATGGGCCTATTTCAAAAACAATGTATATTTAACCTCAACAAATATTTCCTTTTTTTCTGTTCTCAATTTTAAACGCTTTATTTTGTTGTTAAGAATCACATTTGCAGTTTTCTTCTGTTGAAAGACCATTAGTAGAATTTTCCGAAGAACATTTTTTCCATTGACACCATTATCCTAAAATGATATATGGAAGTAGAAATGGACCTCTTTCAAAACCAATACATAATTAAACTCAAAAAATATTATTTTTTAGAGATGTGGATAAAAGTTTGAAGTTTTTTTTAAATATATGTCCTTTCTTTCGCTATAGGTTGTCCTACAAAAATATTCCAAGAATTATGATTCCTTTTTCTAATAAAATTTATGTCAGAATTAAAAGTTATTTTTTTTCTTTTTATTTTTTCCCTTTTTTTTCAGCAACTGTAGATACTGCTTCTAAAACTACAAAATCAACTACGCAACAAACTAATACTACTGCTACTACTGTTGTTGGTGGTGGCAGCAGCAGTGGCACCACGAAAACCCCCTACACAAATCAACAAACTACTAAAACAAATACCACCATTGCTACTAGTAGCAGCAGCAGTACCCTAGCTACTGTTTCAAGTCACCAGACGAGATCATCAAAATCTCCAATAACTATAGCAACATCATCGTCATCATCTGCATCGGCAAGTTTAAAACGTGAACAATTTTCAGCAAGTTCGAGTCATGGTTCAGGTTCAGGTAATCTTGGTGGTGGTGGAACAAGTGTGGCTGGTGCTTCAAAATCTACAAGTAGTAAACAAAAGAAATAAAAAACGTGTGAAATTAACTGAAAAAAAAAAACAAATTCGTTGTTTAAAAAAGGATTCCAGTTTTTTAAACAAAATTTAATTTTTTTTTTTGGCAAAAAATTGGAATTTTTCCTGAAAGAAAAAAATTAGGGTTTGCTAAATAAACAAACAAAAATATTAAGTGTTTATCTTCTCTCATTAGGAAATTAATTATTAATTACAATTACAACAACTATTTTTAAACAAGCAAAGCAAAACAAACAAACAAACATACTATACTATACTCTACTCTACTCTTAATCTATACAAGTTATATAAATAGTAAATATAATTACATACATATTTTGATGATTGCCATATTCATAAAAGAGAAAATGCAAAACAAAACAAGATTTCTTAAATGTATAATTTATTGGAAACAAAATACATAAATACTAGAGATTTACACAAAGAGAGTATAAAACAATTTTGAATCGCTTTAAATTTACAAAGTACTCCGTACCGTAATGTTAAAGAATCTAAAAATTAAAAACAAAACAAAATAATATTGAATATATACTTTGGAAATATTTTAATAATTAATAATATATTTCTATAAAAAATAATCCCCTCCTCTATATCTCTCCCTCTCTCTCACTCTCATTAACAAAAAGTGAGGTTAGAACTTTGTTTTGCAAAATTAAGACAAGCATAACAAACCCCATTCTTCTTTATATCCTTTAAATATAAATATGTTTATTGTTTTATGTTTTAATTTTCCCCCCCTCATTAAATATGCCTTTATATTGTATACATATTCCCTTTCCCCATAATCCACCCCCTAGCCCCCTTTTTTTCTATAAACTATGGAGTTGTGCATTTGTGCAATATATTTAAATTTATAAACCACAATAAAAAAATAACCAATTATGTTTAGCTTACAAGAGAAATTTAGAGCAAAAATTATGAAAATTAATGGCAAACGATTCAATGCTTTGTTAAAAGAAGAACAATTCTGAATATTAAAAATAAACAAAAAAATATGCTTAAAAGTATTTTAATAAACAAACTGGAAATATGTTTGAAATACTAGAATTGAAGTAATACAAAATGTTTTAGACACCAAAAAAATTAAATCAAAAAAGGAGAACAACACACTATGAACTCTTGGAGAGCAACAGAAAATTGAAGTATTTTTAAGGAAGACTGGTCGCCTTAATAGCCACTAGTAAGTCATAGAGTATCGAAAAGAAGTCTAAAGACTGAAAAGAGTTTCCTTAGACGAACAAACAAGAGAGGCCCTAATAATTATTGGATGGGCATCTTGAAAACTAACAAAATACAGTGTTTTACAGGGGTCAATTTGGAATTTTAATACTCGAGCAGAAGGACATGTTTATGGTCGAGCAAAGTTGTGGGAAAATATAGCCCATTCTAGAAACAATGCAAAAGTACAGTTAAAATTGAAGCTTCCGTGGCCCAGATTTATTTTTCGATGTACATTATGTCTGCAGATTTCATTTATTAGATGACTAAAGAGCCACTAGTAAGTCGTGGAGTAAACAAAAAAAAAAAAAAAAAGACTAAAGACTGAAAAGAGTTTCCTTAGACGAACAATAATCGTTGGATGGATGTCTTAAAAACTAAGATAATACATTATTTTTCAGCTGCCAAATTGGAAATTTAATACCCGAACAGAAAGACACGTTTATTGGCGATTTCGTTTCTTAGATATCTAAAATTTTCGTTTCTAAGATGTCTAAATAGGGAGTCCTAATAGGCAACCATAATGGGGGTCCTAATAAGCGACCATGAACAAATCTTTATCGATGACCAGAAGGACGTCTTGTGGACTATCAGAAAATAGTCTTAATGGACAACTAGATGGGAGTTCTTATGGGCAACTATGAAGAATTGGGATAGATGACCGACCAAATGGTGGATTTTATGGGCGACCAGATGAAACATTTCATAGGCGACGGGAAAAATATCTAAAGACGATGTACATTATGTCTGCAGATTGCGTTTGTTAGATGTCTAAAATAGAGTCTTAATAGGCAACTAGGAATAATCGGAATAGATGACAAAAATGTGATTTTTATGGGCGACCAGATGAAATATTTCATAGGCGACGGGAAAAGTATTATTAAAGACGGTCGGGAGGGTGTTTTATTGAGAACCAGAAGGGATGTATTCTACACGACCAGAATAGAGTCCGGTTAGGCGACCAGATGGGAAACTTAATGGACGATCAAAATAGTGATTTATCGACTTGGACGATAAGATAATGTCATAATGGACGACTAGATGGGAGTCTTTATAGATGTCTAAAAATTATTATTATTATAGATGAACAAAAAGGAGGTCTTTATGGACAAGCAGACGATCTTTAGCTTTAAAGGCGATTGAAAGTGTGTTTTAGAGAGAACCAGAAGAAATATATTTTATATGGCAAGATTAGATTCGGGTTAGGCAACCAGAAGACGGGACAAGAAAATTTTTATTTATAAATTGTGGTGTTGTGGGTGATTTTGATATAAATTAAAAAACTCCCAACAATAACCCACTAGGAAAAATGTTTGTCTGATTTAGCAATTTGCAGATTAAGGATAAATATTATATCTAGAGATTTCTTGTGGTTGGCGACTTATAGTGAAATTTGATAGAGAATACTTTTTCTATTGACGCCATCCCTCTAAAATATACCCAAGTGGTATAGTTTGGCATAAATCGAAAACCAACCAAAATAACCTCACAAAAAATTGTTTCAGTAAGCAATTTGCAGATGGTCATTTTAAGGATAAATATTATACCTGGAGATTTCTTGTGTTCGGCGACTTATAGTGAAATTTGATGGAGAATATTTTTTCCATTGAGACCGTCCACCTAAAAAGGTATATTTAGACACAAATCGAAAAACATCCAAAATAATTCAAATAAAAAGTTTTTTATTTAAAAAAAAACAATTTGCAAATTACCAATTTAAGAATATATACTTTATCTGCAGATTTCTTGTGTTCGATTACCTATAGTGAAATTTGATGGAGAATATTTTTCCCATTAAGGCCGCCCCACTAAAGTGTGTCAATGTGGGAGATTTCGCCATAAATCGAAAAACACCAAAAATATAACCTAACCTTTTTAAATGGTCATTTTAAGAATATATATTATATTAGAATATATACATATTACTTGTGTTCGAAGACCTCTGGTAAAATTGAATGCAGAATATTTTTTCCATTGAGACTGTCAACCTAAAATGCCTCAAAGAGGTAGATTTGAACACAAATTATAAAACATCCAAATGAAAACTTTTTGATTCAAAAAACCATTTGCAGATGGCAATTTTAAGGATAAATATTACATCTAAAGATTTCTTGTGGTCGGCGACTTAGAGTGAAATTTGCTGGAGAATATTGTTTCCATTCACACCGCCTCTCTAAAATGTGCCCAAGTGGTATATTTTGGCATAAATCGAAAAACATCCAAAATAACTCAAATAAAAACTTTTTGTTTTGATAGACAATTTTCAGATGGGCATTTAAAGGGTATATACCATATCTAGAGATTTCTTGTGTTCCCGGTTTTGTAGTGAAATTCGATGCAGAATATTTTTTCCATTGAGACCGTCCACCTAAAATGTCTCAAAGAGGTAGATTTGAACACAAATTGAGAAACATCCAATATAACCTTAAAGAAGACTTTTTGTGTCAGTAAACAATTTGCAGATGGCCATTTAAAGGATAAATATTATATCTAGAGATTTCTTGTGGTCGACGATTTATAGTGAAATTTGATGGAGAATATTTGTTCCATTGATATTACACCTCTAAAATGCATCAAAGAGGTACATTTGAACACAAATTGAAAAACATCCAAAATAATACTAATGAAATCTTTTTAATTCAAAAAATAATTTGCAGACGGCCATTTTAAGTACAAATATTATGTCTAGAGATTTCTTGTATTCGATGACCTTCAGTGAAATTTGATGGAGAATATTTTTCCCATTAAGGCCGCCCACTAAAGTGTGTCAATGTGGGTGATTTTGCCATAAATCCAACCAATTTTTAAATGACCATTTTAAGGAAATATACTATGTCTACATATTACTTGTGTTCGATGGCCTCTAGTAAAATGTAATGCAGAATATTTTCCCATTAAAGCCAGTTCTCTACAATGTGTCCAAGTGGGAGATTTGAACACAAATCGTTAAACACCCAAAATAAGCCAAAAGAAACCCCTTTGTTTGATTAACCAATTTGTTTTGCATACATTTTAAGGATATACATTATGTCTAGAGTTTTCTTGTGGTCGGTGACTTGTAGTGAAATTCGGTGAAGAATATTTTTTCCATTCACACCAACACTCGAAAATGTAATACAATCGAACTTTAGAGCCCAGATCTAAAATCCTACCAAAGTTCAACTGAAAATCATTTCTCATTTGTATTATCAATAGTTTACTTCTATTTTAAGGTTAGCTATTAATGCTACTGATTTCTTTTCTTTTTGGACCTATAATGAAATTTGTTTACAAATATTTTTTCCACTGAGACCCCATCTCTTTAATGCAGTTTAATGGGAGATTTTGGTACTTTTCGGAATAAATATGCATCGAACCTAAAAATTATTTTTTCTTTTGTATATGGTAATTGCTTTAGACAGTTGTAGCGATATGTATTAGGCCTACAGCTTTTACGTTGTCCGAGACCTTTAGTGAAATTTTATGGGGAAGATTTTTTCCATTGACATAGTGCTTCTGAAAATAAGCGTTCGAGGAGTTTTGAGCCTATTTTAAAAGTCTTACAAAATTCTCAATGTTTTTTCTTATTTTCTCTTTTTTAGTAATTAGTTTTGAGCGTTTCCTCTTGCAAGAGTTCTGCGGTGTTTTGTTCACAATTAGAATTGAAAAGCAAAAAAAAAAAAAAAAACTGAAAACTGAAACCCAACACCATAACAATTGATTACAAATTTCTAAATAGAAATCAACGATTAGATTTAATATAAGACCATAAAAAATAAATAAAAAAAGTATACATATATTGTAATATATCTCTAAAATAATTTGTTAACAACCTATAAATAATTCTTATTTCAATAATGAAGTAAAGATTATTCAATACATAAAAATTCCATTAACATTTGATGTTTTACTTTAAATTTTATTTTTATTATTATTTTATTTTTAATCTTTGTTTATAATTTATCATCTTTTAATGTTTTGTTTTCATTATTCCTATGTTTTCCAAGAGCTATAATTTTGTTATTTTTATTAAAAAAATGAATTGAAGAATGATTTCGCCCAAGTTGTTTTCAAGCAAACCCAAAACACCTATTAATCCTTCCCAATACAGGGTGAGATAAAAAAACTGCAACAATGTCAAATGCCATAAATTTTACATTTTTGTTTTTTTTTTTAATTTTATTGATTGAAAGCAAAAAATTTCGAAAATACCATCAAATTTTAGAATAAGTTTAGCTTTGTTCGAATTGATCACCTTTGGCACGAATTATGGCCTTCGAACGGCCAAAGAAACCTTCCGTCACACGCTGCCCGAATGTTGCTCTGCGCTGTTTTGGCCCATTCCCAGCGAAGCACTAGCTTGAGGTGATCGACACTTTGGTACACTTTCAGTGCCAACCTTGCTTTCCAAAATACTCCAGACACCATAGTCCAACGGATTGGTATCCGGAGATTTTGTTGGCCATTGTGCTCTGGAAATGAAGCTAGGAACCTCATTTTGTAACCATTTTTGGGTGGCGCGTGCTGAGTGCGCTGATGCTGAGTCATAATGTTGCTGTTTTCTTGCGTCCACTTCCTTGACGTCGGGCTACGGTACCAGTATCACAGTAACGAGCGACGCTACGAGCCACAAAAGATTTATTTACATTTAAATGCTGGAGTGCCCGAAGGATAGTCACTTTTGGCAACTTCCAGCCAAATATAAAGAAATCATACTATCACGCTTTTCCGCAAATAATTTTTTTCCGGGAAAACTCTCAGCAAAATGCCGTTGTACGCTTGTAACCAATATAATTAGC